GGAATTGACCAATCACAGTTCATTATTCAACTTACGACATCCAATGTAGACCCAGCCTTATTGACTTTACTGGCGTGCGAAAAACGCAGCACCAGTAATTTTCATTGCTACCAACTATACTGTTTTCACTGGCAGTAACTAAATCCATTTTCGAACACATCCATAGACGACGTATTGGGTTAACACGTTTTGCAACGAGATACGAACAGGTTAGGGTGGAGTCCCATGGAGCGTATTAAGCGGAAGCGTAACCAGCGGATCGCCAATCCACGGATCCGTTTCAACGGAATCTTGAAAGGGCTCTATCAGAAAGATTCCGTGATTGGCGATCCGCTGGTCCGCTTCCGCGTAATCCGCTCCATGGGACAGTAGGGGCCAAACTCCGGCGTACGAAAAACAGCGGATTGTCTGTGATTGGTCGTAGAGTTCGATACGCCTGATACGCGCGTATCGCGATACGCGCCATGGGACGGCACCCTCAGTGGTTACGCTACGCAATTTACGCTCCATGTGAAAGCACCCTTACTGTTTTCACCAGTTTTCACCGCGCGCATGCGCCAAAAACCCGGCCCATCTACCATCATTGACTCCATGATAAAATCCATGGGTAGATGTCGCTTCCGCGATCGTTGGAATGACGCCTCCCTTCGCCGGCGACACGCGGCGTCGGCAGTGACCGGCTGGTGTCCGTGGTCGGGCCGAAGCGAGGTTGAAAACGCGGTAGACGCGTGAGGACGAGACAAGGATTGGAAGGAGAGTGTAAGCGAGAGCTGAAGGCGTGTACAGGCTGTTGCATCGTATACGTTGACTGTCGTGCCACGCCGCATCGCGACGCACCACTCCCCCTTCCATCCCTGCGTTTTCGCCATTACTCGCTGCGTTTCTCGCTCTCTCTTCTACCGCGGTTGACAGCGGTCCCATCCAATCGACTGATCGCCTCTTCGCACGCGGTTGGAAGAAGAAAGCCTACCCTTGCTTACGCTCTTATTCCCCAAAGGCCCACTCTCTTTTTCCATGTCAACGACACGCGTGCTCCTGCCAAGGCCAGCAGCGAGTTACGCCCCCCACGTCATTGCCGTCGCCGTTATTCTCGTAAAATTCGGATTGTGCACGTCGCATTCGTGTCGCTGGAGGATCTCGACGGGAGCCGCCGACGGTATCGGACGTAAAGAGTCGCGGCGGAGGAGGACGTACGATCAGGTCGGCGGCGTCGCTCCTGCTAGCCTGAGATGAGCGACCATGGCTGCATACATTTGAATAATTTTAAAGCAGCCAAAGGTATTCAGCCGTACAAAGTGATACACTCGTATTTTGTGACCAGTACATCGACCGAGGCGCGCGTCAGGAAGGTACGCCCAAGTTCTTTTTGCGTGCGTTTGTCATCCAAGTTCTTTGTCATCCACTTTTCAGAGATCCACTCTGCTCCTCGCGTCTCGCTTGCTCGCTCCCGTTATGCTTTCCCCCTGTCTTTCTCTCTTTCTCTCTCTCTCTCTCTCTCTATTTGGTTCTCTCTTTCTCACCCTCTCTTTCTCACTCTCTCTTTCTCTATTGATACATTTAACCTCCCCGTTGCTCCTTCGGTAGTATTTGGAGCATGAAGTCTGTAAATGTTTAGAATAGTATACGAGTATTGTTTTTCATCGATAGCCATGGCGGGATTTTTTCAAATATCTGCTGTCTCGGTACAACACAGCGAGATTCAGGGATAAACTATAAAGGTGACGAAATTACCGATTTTATGAATTTTACGTCGCTGCCAATATTTGTGTGATTAATCTATACAGTATTAACTTTGAATTGTTTGTAACTGAAATTATTTAACAAGAAGAGTGGTAAAAGCTCCAGAAAAGATAAAGAATCGATGAGGGAAGGCCAATGTGAGCCAATAAATGCAGAACACAGTGCGTGGTTTAAACGTAATTGAAATTATTTATACAGACGTTTTGTGTAAGTGTGTTGGCGTTTTTCAGCAAGAGCACAGTTGACACGGTGTAGCACGGTAAATCGCCTTTGTTTAACTTTGGCAAATGACAAGGATGAAATGAGTCGTTGGGCCCCTTACTGAAAAATGCCTTATACATACTATGTATGTAATCATTCACGACAAAATATTGCATTTTTTTTACCGAAATCTCCATTATTGAATCTGCTCTTTTTAGCTGAATTGGCTGCACTGGTCCAGAGTTTATCTTTCTCCCTCCACATTGGAAAGAGAAAAATAAACTCTAGTACAGCCTGCTAAAAATAATAGACAATAATAATATATTATTTTCATTGTTATTGTCATCCGCGGAAATAAGAATTTAACAATATATTAATTATGTATGTTATTACGTAAAATATGTTTATTTGTAAGTTGCGTGGGAATATACATATGTAAAGTAATATGCGCGCGCGCGCGTGCGTGTCCTCGTCTAGTCCTAGCCCATTATTTTTCTTGCCAAAAAATTATCGAGTGATGAGTCTTTAATGTCTACCTCCCCGAAGATACATCTCTACTTATTACTATGGACACATACACACACACAAAATTTAATTATGAACGAATCGTTTAGATATTTAATTATATCGGGAAATTGTAACTGAAGATTAAAAGGGTAGTAAAGAAAACATATTTCAGGTTAAAAATTCGGTAAAAAAATGTGTTTCTTCCAAACATTAAGTATTTTACCCTAAATTACTTTAATTACTTAGAATGTTCAGTTTCAAAAATTTCTTACAAAAATGGCTTATTTTCCGTGTTTATTTATTGACCTTTAAAGCACTGGCTTTGAAAAATCAATTTACTAAAATTAGGTATCATATACCATGTTCTATGCTATTTTTACTTTTGATCCACAAAATAACAATAGCCTGTTAAAATTAATTATGCTTGAGAGAATTTCCTTAAACCTTATAAAATGTTAAAAATAAAGAAAAATTGCAATTAAATATAAGGATATTAAATATATATATATATCGTATCCTTGAATTTATCCTTCCAAATTATTAAAAACAATTTTCACTCATAGATACCACTCTTTCACCCTGTTTCTTCTTTTATTTTTAAAAAACTGTTTTTAATCTTTAATATCAAAACGATCGATAATGTCTGAACTCTTCAATTATCTTAAAGATAATACACTTCCCCTTCTGTTCTGTTCTTCCCAATCATTGATAATCAGCTTTGGGCATTAGTTTGGGTATTAAGCCTTGCTGGGGCATTATAAAGATAAAACAAGATAAAATAGGATAAAGTAATGCCTACTGGGTATCTTTGGTCCGCTTTACCCCTCGGAGTTCTCCAATAGTACTTTGTCACTGGGTACAATCATTTAGCATATTTGTCGCGTGTTTTATGATAATATAATTATTTTATATTTTTAAATTAAATATTTATAAGTTTTTAGATTGATATTTTTTATTTGCTGAAAAACCATGTTAGATTATATCCTAATAGATAATTAAATATTCTAATTGTGATCAGAATATCCTGAACATACCTAATAATGCGCAACATACATATCAGAATTAACAAATAATTTGCAGGCTGTGAGCTGTTTATGTCACACATGTAAAACTTATAAGGATCGCCTACATTCTTGTCTTCATTGCATATTTTTTGGCTGCTACGTAAAAGGTCACATACAAGAACATGCGAAAACGAAGAAACATTTTCTAGGTAATGGAATATTTATCAGTTTAGATCTCTTCTATATATTCAAACTTCGTTAAACATATATACAGGGTGCTAAAAAACTAAGTGCCATAAATTTGTGTGATGAAAGAATAGACGAGTATAAGCATTTTAAGTACAGGAACCATGGGTCGGTGACGTTTTATTACGGCGTGACGGGCGTTTAATTGAATCGTCACAACTCGTGCAATGCAGGTAGATCGGACGGGGTGGACCTGTGACGTGGCCTGCAAGGTCACCAGATGTAATGCCTCTCGACTTCTTTTTCCGGGGTGCAATGAAAAATATGATTTATTCCGAACAAGTCGAATCCGAGGATGATCTGGTCGCTCGCATCGTAGAGGCATTTGAAACCATCCGACACATTCCAAAGAACGCGGCAGTCATTGCTCCATCGCTGTGACTCTTGTCGGAACGTTGGAGGCCGTAACTTTGAACAGTTATTGTAAATACATATATCAAATTGACGAAATAAAATCATTGCATCGCAGACGTTGTGACGATTCAATTAAACGCTCATCATTAAAATGCTTGTACTCGTCTATTCTTTCATCACACAAGTGTATGGCACTTAGTTTTTAGCACCCTGCGTATATGTATGTATACATACATAATATAATACAAACGAAATTGTATAATGGGACTTATATATTTTATAGCTAATCAATCGACTGTTTTTGTGCTTTCTTATTTGTTAGTTTATTATTGCAGCTGTTGATCTGTGTTATGGGAATATTCTGTGCTTCCAATGCGGCGACTATGTATACGATAGAGAATTGTTAACAGTGGCGAAAGCGCAATGGAGCGAGTCGGCAAAATCCTTGAGCTTCGGAGAATTCTATCGTACGTGGGAACCCACGCAGATAGAGGCGGAGTTGCTGCGAAAACATCCGCGCCGAAGACGCGTTGTAGAAAATTCCACTATAGGTAACAGAAAATCTCAAACTTAGTGGTCTGCATAACTCAGTGTAACGCTAATAATGGGCTTTATTTGATTGATACGTCATTTTCAAGAAAATACAATATATAATTTCTTGAGTAAGAATTCATGCCGCTTCGGTTTCAGGTTTAAGGGGACTGATCAATCTCGGAAATACCTGTTTCGTAAACTGCATCGTACAGGCACTGATTCACACTCCACTGTTACGAGACTACTTCCTTGCTGACCGTCACCACTGCCCGCAACCGAGTCGCTGTCTGGTCTGCGAGGTATCCCATTTGTTCCAGGAGTTCTATTCCGGCAACAAGGCCCCGCTGACACTTCACAAACTTCTCCATCTGATTTGGACCCACGTCAGACATCTGGCAGGTTACGAACAGCAGGACGCCCACGAATTCTTCATTGCTACACTGGACGTCCTCCACAGACACTGCGAAGCTGCTCCGATACTAGTTAAAGACAACCCTCATCATTGCAAATGTATCATCGATCAGATATTTACCGGGTGCCTTCAAAGCGATGTTGTTTGTCAGGCTTGCAAGTAAGTATGCCAATCTTTCTCTCTAGGAAAGTATACTTGGTAGATATAGAAGAAACGTATCATAGAGTCTACACATAAAATATCTAGTTATACTTTAAAGCAATTGCATAGCATGCTTACTCTGTGTAGGATAAAATAATTATTATTAAGCCATGTCCATTTATTACATTCGGAATCTTTACTATATTTAAATACATTAGACATGGCTCATCTGATATGCTTAATTTTTCTTTTCTCAGTGGTGTGTCTACCACAATAGATCCATTTTGGGACATATCTTTGGATCTAACTTCAGCAGCTGGTGCCTCTGGTTCTGATACGCCCGGGTCACCCACTTCCTTGCTAGATTGTCTGGAAAAATTTACCAGAGCTGAACATCTAGGTTCTAGTGCAAAGATCAAATGTAGCAACTGCGAGACTTATCAAGAGAGCACAAAGCAGTTAACGATGAAGCAATTGCCGATCGTGGCAATTTTTCACCTAAAGCGTTTCGAGCACTTCATCATCCAAGATAAGATTTTTAAGAAGAAAATCTCCACATTTATCTCGTTTCCAGAACAATTAGATATGACGCCGTTCATGTCGCATAGGCGCAACGGTAACAACAATAGCGCCATGCTAGATAGCTTGTCGAAGAATGGAGAGGATATGAGCTTCAGTGACAACAGGTAACGTTATTTTCTCTATTCAATTATGGATAACCAACATTATTGTTTTAACCGACATGTTTAAAAATATGTATATTGAATTAAAGTATGATTATTAATAATAGGTACTCTCTATTCGCCGTAATAAATCACGAAGGTTCCTTAGAGACTGGACATTATACTGCTTTTATCAGACAACAGAGAGATCAATGGTTCAAATGCAATGATCATTTGATTACACGAGCCAAGTTGAAGGATGTCTTGACCAGCGAAGGGTAAGATAAAATAGCGCGATTATCAAAATAGATAAGAATCAATTGTAATACCTAGATTAATTAGAATTTCTTAGCGAATGTATAGAAAAGGAGATAAATCGTTCTCTCAATTGTTAAGTAAAATTTTTTACTTTTTAGATATCTCCTATTTTATCACAAGCAAATTTTGGAGTACGGTTAAAACGATACAAGTCTGAAAGGAAAGAGAGAATGTGAATCAAGTGTAATTAATTTATTTAACAAAAAGTTAAAAATCGCTGCTGAAGCTGGACGTCGGTGACATTTTATGTTTGCCAGATATAAATTATTGTCATCGTCGCCTTTTGGTTTCCGCCGGCGCCTTTTATGTTCGATGGGTTACGTTGACTGACTTGCCCTATCGACATCTATGAACGTACTGTAAGAACATAGATTAAGATTAGCTCAATTTTTTAAATCAACCGATTGCAATTTTTGTATATCGCTGACTGTTGTTATACTCCTACCCTTGACATACACACACACACACACACATACACACTCAGAAATATGCATTGTATACACCTTACGTCTAGGGATGGACCTCGTATGTATTGTCCTCTTAATTTTTGCCAACGAAATGTTGATCCGATCTCTGAAAAAAGCACTTCATCACGGCATACGTGTGGTATCGAGTTATACGATTTGTCAAACCTCAGATCATCTAATATATCATTAATCAATCTTTATTCACCATAAAATAGAATTTTTATAATGTTTTATATTTACAAATTAGACTGCTATATAATTACAGACAATTAATGTTACCAATTTAAGTAAAATTTCAGAAAGACAAATAGATTCCTCTTCGGTAATGCAAAGAGTAAAACTTCACTATCATGAAATTCAATATTTCATAAAAAATGATATTTTTCCGTACGCGCTATACATAATATAATTTATTTAATACGACCATCCCTAGGCGACTTTGTACAGATGAAATAACATATTACATTAAGTATGAAAACATTGAGTTGAGACAAACTCTTTCACTAGACTTTGTATAATAAAAATCGCTGCTCGACAAACTGTTGCTCTGGTTGCCTGTTCCACTTTTAAATTCCTCTCTTTTCTTTTTTATATTGTATATTTTATTATTGCATGAGCATAAGGTGTGTCGCAACCAAAGTGCCAAATAATTGGAAATATAACGTTCTAGGTTAATTATTTTAATTAACGAATAATGACTCGCTTGAAAAACGGATTTTTTATTAGCGAGTACAAAATACAAATAAAAATCCATTTACTGATATGACAACTTCATGGAAACTAAAAGTAAAAATAAAACTAGTATGTAGCTGTATATTTTAATGGACTCACATTATCTCATTGATGCTGGAAGTGAGAAATTGTGCGAATTTTCCATTCTTGCATTGTCGAAAATTTTATTCTGTGCTCGTTGGTTTTCTATCAAGTTCATCGAGACAAAGACATGCCAAAGTTCATTTTTTCAGTGTCTTTCATAAAAGTTGAGAACTAGATTCAATTAATCATTAGGATGTTTGTGTCAATCCACACACTGAGCAAAACATGTTTGTGAATAATGTTATATGTTTGAAAGATGATTCTACCATACATGTGGTTGTAACGTTATAAGAGTAAAGCACATCTATACAAAAAATAAAAATTGTTTTATCCAAACTCATTAGCATACATTTCTTCAACTTAAATCACCAGAGGAACGAACAAATATTCAATAAAAAACGTTTTTTATAAAGTAAATATTGTACAATATGGTTGACTAAAGGTTAAATAGACAGTCTAGTGAGCATATATAGAATGTTTACAAAAAGGATATTTCCAATAAATTTGAAAGGATGGATTTGGTTAATTGAATAATTGTTGTTAAGACACTCATATCCGGCAATATCTCTTTATCTTTTTAAGTGGCTAGTCTTATTGAATATTGCTTAATTTCTATAAAGATTAAAATGGAAAACTCATGTTTGTGAATTTTAATTTTCTTATTGCAAGAAGTATTTGAAATAGCATCCTTCAGTCTCTTTTTCTTCCACTTGAAGTAGGCTTGGGCTTGTTTTTCCGATTAATTCGCCTCATGGTCTGAGGCGAACTATCGGTTCTGTGAGCGTTTGGTATTTTTTACCGAGGGTAGGTTGCTGGTCTCGTCCTCGAAGCCTCTTTTATCCGAGCTTGGGACCGGCAGGGGTGATTCCCAATTATTAGGTGCTCCACCCTAGGTAGGGTAAAAGGATATGTGCGTGGCAGAATACTCTCGTTGGGTTACCGCTTCCCTTCGTGAGGTAACATCCGATAAAATCAGCGGTGTTCGTGGATTTGAACTCGGATATTTCCGTTTATTTGTTTACTGAGCAGCGCAATTTTCTCTGCGCCACGCTCGCCACCTCATTCAGTCTCATTAGCTTCGTATTCCCAGATAGCCAGTACTGCTCAAGCAATGTATGGAAATAAAATGCCAGCAACTGATGCTAGGAATATGAATTCAATGTTTGAATGAGTTAAGTACAGCTAGCATAATGTTAACATATTGTCGTAGTTGACTGCATAGCTAAAGAGGGTTCTCGTGATAGTAGCTATTGTCAGTAAAGATATTGAGAATACTTGGTTCCAATGTCTGAGAATGGTGCTGCGACATGTTATGGAAGAGATGTTTATAATCAGTTAAACAAAGTTTTCGTTGAACGATGGATAGGAGAGGAGAGGTCCGATTGAGTGGCCAGCTCAATCGCCAGACCTCTCGACTATTTTCTCTGGGGCTATCTCAAGAGTAAAGCACAACAAAACTACCAACTGTATGGATGTTTTACATCATTAAATCTTTGATGAAATTAGGAATGCTGTTTCAGCATTAACTATTTACGAGCGAGCATACTGTCAAGCTGTTAACGAACATTTTGAAAATGTATTTTAAATTAAACCTGCTTTGAAAAGGTAGGTCCTTACTCGATTTTTCTTTAGATAGCTAAATCCTTCTCAGAACTTACCTTTGATGATCAGATCCTTTACTTTATAATATATTTCATATTTTATATACATATGTAATTTATATTAAAAAGTATCATAACAAATTTTTTAATACTTCAGGAATTTCTCAATCAAAAGAAATTTTATTTACTGTTCTGAAAACGTTCCAACGAAGACTATAAGGATATACGATAAAAAATTCGGAATTACATTGAAAAAATTGAACTTGACTTGTCCTGATCTGGGGGTCAATTATGTTTCTTACAATATATTTGTGAAAATGCTAAAAGTGAGCAGCTTGTCTCTTTCTAAGGGAACAGTTAGAAAGTGACAAAGCTATAACTCACTGTTCTAGCATTTTTACTATAGCGTAAGATACAGAATTGATCCCCTGGGGATTCAATTTTGTAATTAATGCGCGTATATCGGTCTGAAATCGAATCGAACTTGTCGAATCTCCATCTTTTTCTATATTATTATTTAAGAAAAGACAGAAAATCGACCAATTTCTGGTTATCTAGAAAATGAAAAACTGGGCCTAAGATAGTGTTTCGTTGGAATATTTTAAAATCTTATTGTTAGAAATAATATTTTAAATCTTATACGATCTCAAACGTTTGGTACGCAATGTAAGATCAGTTTATGAATAACAGCCATAATTGATTAGCTCGATGGATTAGCTCCGTTGGGACACTCAAAATCGATCATACAATTCCTCCGCGATCTTCTTTTCGCTCTTGTCATTCAACGAGCATAATTCTCTTGATGAAAATATGCTAGAAGTACTACAAAATTAATAAAAAATAAAATAAAAATTATTGAAAAAATACTGTATGTATTTCAAAATAAATCGTAATTTTTCTTATGAAATTCAATATGACACACTGTGACATGTGTATAAGAGAAGTTAAAGTATACTGTTGAAAAATAATAAAACAATTATAAAATATTAGAAATTTATTGAATTTAACTAAAACATTTTAATGAAAACTTTTTGAAATATCAAAATAATAATGAAACGAGACCAATTGGTAGAGATTTTCAAAGCAAAATTTAATCATATTTTCGATAAAACATTTTCACCAAGGTCGACCCTGCCGGAAATCATTCTACAAAATTCTTCAAAATAAAAGAAGTATACTGCCTGCAGAATCTAAGAAATTCTACGTAAATTTAAAAAGCGTTATAAAAATGCTAGAATTGGAACACTTTTGTTAATTTTTGTAATATTCTACAAGCAGACGTTTTAATTCTTTAAGATTTTGTTGTTTCTCAAATTTTAAAAAAATTTTACAAAATTGTACATTTTCATGAAATACTACTTGCAATAATTTCTTGATTCGAGAACATTGTAATTTCTGGTACTATTTCGTAGACATTTTTACAAAAAAATTAATGTTTCAACGAAGATATAAAAATTTCTACTTCAAGTCAATTTTTTGTAGTTATTTATAGAATTTTGTTCCGCTAGGGGAGGACGGAAGTGACAGAGTATGGAAGATATGCGTGGATGTACTCCATAGCCGTCTCGATGAGAATAACAGGTCTGATATTCGCGCGGATTTGTGGGTCCACTCGTTCCGCGCGAAAAGCCGTCGCTCTCCGTTTCCGACCAATGTCGTCCGAGCGATGAGTGGAATGGAAGGAAAGATGGACGCCTTGACGTTGGGCTCGCACAGGTAAGGGTAACCGGACCGACCGACACAAATCCTTGTGTATCTCTTGACGCACCAAGTGTCGCGACCTAGAGAATCGCTCTTTCTTTTCCAGGCTGGTCCACCTTGATTTGAAGGGCGCACCGCCGCGGACCTGCTACTTCGAAAAGGTACTTGCTGCTCATAAACGCTCGACGGCGATAGCCTCGTTTCTCGCGGCAGCGCATCTCGGGGCTCGCGTCGCACAACCGTTTCAACGGTTTTACCCTTTAAAATCCTGTACGACGAGCGTAGACATGTCCTTTTCTCGCGCTGTCCCAGTAACCTGGTTTCTCTCATATATCGTGAGGTTTGTTTTCTGTTCCTGCACTGGTCAACTAGTGCAATAAATTAGAGTAAGACAAGTATATATTCTCTCATTCTAGCTTACTGCACTAGTTGACCAGTGCAGCAACAGAAAACAAACCTATTAATTGAACCTTGAGTATTGTAATCGCGCGCCCGAGGCGTCTTGTTTATGGTTACGATACAGAGAGAGAGAGGGAGGGAGGGAGAAACTACGCAAATATGTACTATGCTGTCGAAATTTGTATTTTAACTGCTTGGAGAACGTTAACAGAATGACATGACTTGTAATTTTCAGATGTTTATAAAATTTTTATTTCTTATCATTATCAATCATCGTACAGTAAAATTGTTATTTTTATAGGTTTGCATAAAACTTGAGGAATAAGACAGGGCCCTGGCAAGAATAGCTGATTTGTAATTTCAAGGCATTGTTTTTAAGTCACGAATAACGCATGCAATAAGGTCTGAGCAGAACGACTGTCTCGTACTCTTGAGACGTTTTGTATTTTAAGGTCTTTGGCCCTTTTACCCATCTGAATCCTCTTTTATCGACGAATGCTCCCGTTAAAAGATCTTTTCGGCCAATAAGAATTCTTGAAAAACCAATTTTAGTGGCACTTTTAGCGATAAAAGAGGATTCAGGGTATGGGCCTTTGTCTCGAAGTGACGCACTAACTGCCCCAATAACCATTTCTGCGGAGACAACATCTGACAAATTCTGTTTTCTGAAAAGTTGCTGATAAGAAATATGTTTTGTTATTGAAAAACATTGTGAGCAAAATTGTAGTAGAAATTTCTCAACATCTGTTCGCAGACTACACGACAGAGTGACGGCAAATAGCAAGTAGATCTGCTGAAAGACCACAAAGAAGATTGTTACAGGTGATAGCGGATTGCTGACAAAAACCGAGCAGTCTGCTGACGTAACTTGTCGACAAATTGGTAGTAAACTTTGTTGTTTGTTGGCTTGATTTACATTTCTGGTGCTAAGCTCTCTTGCACTCTCCGGTAAAAGAAGAAATAGAAACGACAAATCCTGCTCAGTTTCTGTTGTCAATCTGCCGTTTGCACCAACTGGCCAGCAGACAGATTTACTGGTCAGTTGGTGCAAATCTTTTGGCAGCGTGCGATTGACAAATCTGCTCTCGATTTGGTGTGTCGTCTGTCGTTGTATTGCTAATGACATGTCTACTCTCATGTTGCACTCAATTTGACAATCAGAATGTGATTACAATTTTTAGTTGCAATTGGAGTGCACTTGAGGACACAGTAGGCTCTGGACTTAGCAAGCTTACTTCGCAAGAAATTCTTTCTCCGAGTGTTAACAATCTGCGAGCAAATGGTTAGCTGGCTGTCTTGTGTCTTGACAGTACAATATAGCCATTCTACTCGGGCCCATACTGTGTTACATCTCAAGTTTTAAATACGAAGACAAAGTTTGCAAGGAATAAACGTATGTTAATACACGCAAGTAACAATTTTACTATTCGATTACTAATAATAAATAAGTATTTTATAAATATTGTTTTGAAATTACAAGTCATTCTGTTAAGACCCTTACTGTGCGTTACTTGAAACAAAAACTCAAGTATTGTCTTGAAAGTACAGATCAGTCGTTCTGCTGAGGTCCTTACTTGGTAGAAAACTTTGTGCGGACAGTGTGCTACTAATTTCTTCGGCAGAATGTTAACAGAAACATGACATCTGCATACAATACGACGGCAAAGAATCACATATGGTTTTTATGGAAATTGCATTTCGGTGGAATCGAATAAAACTTTGAAAATAAATAAGTTTGTACGATGCTGATCAGAAGTCACAATAAGTCACAAATCTCTCTGGACCGTTTAGCTGCGAGCTTTCAAAAGTCAAAATGAGACACTTTATTTCAATGTTACACTGTTCAATAAAACAAAGCACAAGAAGGATAATAATTTCCCTTTTTGATCGCTGAACACGATCCCGTTTACTAAATTGTACTGTCACGTCACAATTTTGAGAAATCTGCAGTTAAAGTTGCAAAAAAATAGTTATTTTAATGTACTTTGGTATACTTATTTGGTATATGTAAGCATTGGAGAAGTCTTGTTACAATCAAAATTAAACACATTAGAACTTTTAGTCCTCGGAAGTTTGTCGTGCCATTATTGATTGCATTATTGAGAAAAATTATTACGTCAAAGATGTCATTTGTTGGCATTTTGATGTCAAAATGACAACGTCAATTGGCTATCTGGATAAGGGTCAATGAAACATTTTTTCATTATATTATGTAAACTTGAAGTTTTTCAGGTCGCTGAATACTAACCTGATGTCAAAGTTGGCAAATTACTTCAACGAATCACATATTGTGATTATGATAAGCAAAAATATACTAAAATAGCTCTTTTACAATTTTAACTGTAAATTTCTCAAAATTGTGAGTGAGCAATTTGATAAAAATTTAGCACTGAAATAACGCCTTATTGTGACTTGCGAATGTTTGTAGCATGATTTATTACAGGGAATTGTGTAAGAATAAGTAAAAGTATTATACTATTAATTTGTTGTCATATTACGAACAGTTTGCTTATTGGAATACCGTTAGCATTTTGCTTTTTTGCTTTTGTTAACATTGAATTATAGTCAATTTATAACGTGCACGGAAGGGCACGAGAACAGATATTTCGTTGCTGCTTAAAACAATACATATATAAAAGAATATCAAGATATCTTAACTCTGATACGCACGCAGAGAGTTATAATTTAAAAGCTGACAATAGCGGGACTTGCGAGATGAGTCACATTTCTTTCTTTGAATTCAAGTACTTAGATCTTGAATCTTAGTCGTGGTTGCCAATACTTAACATTGAACGAACAACAATTGTCATAGTGACTTTTTCTCTTGGTTTTTGTCTGCGCGCTTATTTTTATTCTTATGATCCAATAGAAAATTTACAGCTCTTTCCGCTGTTGCGAACATGGGGAGCTACCGGATTATTGCTGGAATGGGAGGACACGTTTCCCTACAACCGGGAACTCTCTCCGATAGGAAGCAATGGTCCGAGCAGTTTGGCGAGTGGATACACGATTCAGGAGGCTAGGCACATCCTGCAGATAGCGGGCGATTGCGGTTTGGCAGTTGTCCCATTGGTACAAACTTTCGGGCATATGGAGGTACAAGCAAAACTTATTTTATTAATTTTTACATTGAGTTATTTCGTATGGGTTGTAATTGTATTTTTGTAAATTTGTACTTGCTGTTTAATATTGCATTTCTCTCATTTTCAAAGTCATAATTCAACAGATGACAATTATTCTCAAATTCCAGCCATCATATTGATATGCTGGTTTATTTCCAGTTTATCTTGAAACACGACGAGTGGAGATCGCTGCGCGAGGTAGAACCTTTTCCAAGTTCCATCTGCCCGTCAAATCCGAGAACTCTTCCGGTGGTGAAGTCATTAATACGTCAGATCGTTAGTTTTCATCCTGACATACAGTATTTGCACATAGGCTCCGATGAAGTGTGGCACCTGGGCCTTTGCTCTGTTTGTACTAAACGAGCCGCAGCTAGCAAATATGGCAAATCATCGTTGTACCTTGAACACATTCTGGCGATAGCCCAATACATTCAGGAAACCTATCCATACTTGAAAATCATTATCTGGGATGACATGCTGAGATCGATAGACTTACAGATATTGAACGGTATCTTGATAGAGTCTGTTTGCATCATTTTGTCACACGGACGTTCTTTACACAACTAATCTTTCTTTTTTTCTTTTTACAGAACATTACATCGGCAAATATGTGGAACCAATGGTATGGCATTACAATCCCAGAGACAATTTTGCATTACCTGATGGTAAACACTTTTCTCCTTTGTGTCTTTATTCCATTATACAAGGTGTCCAAGACATCTATACATTTCAGATTTCTTGTAGAAGTAGATGACACATTTTCATGAAAACTTTTCGATACAAAAGTTGTAAGGTTTTAAATAATGCATTATATAATAATATTAGTACGACCTTGAACAGCGTTGTCAAGGCCACGTAAAGATCATCTTAAAATTTTTGAACAAAAACCCCTGTTTTTTATTGCATTATCTTTTTTTACTCATTAATTTGAACAACTTTTGTCTTAAATTTTTTTGTCAAATATTTTTTAAGATATTCAAGAAAAACTTGGTAACTTTTTCAATATTTAATGTATGATATCTTAATAACTATTTGTTGGAGGAAGGAGTAATAGAGGTCTTTTAACTTAACTTGGTCTCAAGAATATGTTGTTACAATAGTAGGTACCTCAACTTTCGTTAACTTGATAATTTTGAAATCTCTTTAGAGTACAATATCTCGATAACTATTTGTCGAAGGAACATATAATGAAGATGTACAGTTGGTGTTGGATACCCTGTATATAAAAAAATTTAGAAATATTTACTAGATTGTCAAATTATTAGGATTGTGGGATAAGTACAGCGCGGTATTTCCGAATATCTGGGCAGCAACTGCATTTAAAGGAGCTACTGGTTCCGCGCAACACATACCTGTAATTCGACATCATATAAGCAATCATGAAAAATGGTTAGAGGAATTGGGTGTTCACGTGAGTAAGGTGCACGAATTTCGTGGTACAGCATTCACCGGTTGGTCAAGGTGAGAAACGTCAGGAAAGTTTTCTACAAGCTATCTTGAGACCTTGAGCCTGGACATTGGTCAATTATGATTTTAGGTACGATCATTATGCCACGATGTGTGAATTGTTGCCCACGGCGATACCGTCTTTAGCTCTATGCTTGAAAGTTTGGCTTTACGGCTATTCAGAGCAAACGCACATGCAGGTAGCAAAGAGCTTGGGCTATATCGATCATCCATTGCATATAACTCCGCAGCTCAGACCAGTCCCGATTCCTAGCAATTTGCTTTTTCCTGGATGGCAAATTGCTGTGGGCATGGAGTGGTTTCTCAACTTCAAGACAAAATTTCACAATATCGTCACCAGCGATCAGTAAGCGCAAAAACAGTTTAAAATTACTCCGAATATTTTAGTTTAATAATAAACTTTCAAGTAAGGCCCCTATCTAAAACTAAACAACATATGAGAACACGCCAATGTGGGTCACAAGGCAAGATGTAGGTAGTCCAACTTGCAAATCTTATATCTTTCTGAATCACATTAGTTCTACGCGCAGACTTCTTTTTCGGACATAACGCAGTTTATCTTACACGTGGAATTATTATCGTCAGCAGATTCACGTATTCGAATCGATAATTATTTTTCAAATGCAATTCGCATTTTTCTGATGCTACATTTAGCATTCAATACCCCCCCTTTTCCCCGTCCTGTAAATTAATTTTATTGCGAAAAATATTACCCCATTAATTTTAGTTTAAACTTGTATTATATTACAAAAAGTTTATCGTGTCTTAATTTATTTTGAATTAAATATTGAAGAAACAATATTATTTACACATAACATATAAATACACGAGAAGGATGATTAGTTTCCCACACAGCACAGAAAGATTGCAGGAAGATTGCAGAAATGTTACATTGCAAGATTGCAATATTGCAGCAACGTTGCGCAATATTGCTGCAACGTTTCTGGAGGATTGCAGTAACGTTGAAATGTCCGCCCTCAGAAAGATTGCAGTGCAACATTATAGCAATGTTGCAGTGCAATATTTTTGGAATAATTTGTTGTACATAAGCAGAGAATTTACTAATTACATTCGGGCCTTTTTCAATACGTAACAAGCTATTGCGAAGCAACCTAAGGGGGTTATGTCGCTTCGCAATAGATGGAGATTGCGAGCAACACCGCACTGATCAAGTACTTAATAATTCGCGCATTATTGGTATCAACGAAAATAACATTATAAAATTCTCGTAATTAGAAAAATTGTTTAAATAGAAAATATAGTATGTATTTTCATTATTTTTGAAACATTACTGCAATATTGCTATCGAAAGTTTGCAATTTTATATCCCTGCAATGTCTCTGCAAGATTGCAACGTTTCTGCAATGTAACTGCAACCATCTGTGCTGTATGGGTTTATAAACATATATGTAGAGAAAACGAAAGATCTTTCTCTGAAATATTAGAAATCTAGAGAAGCTGAGAGATTAAGTTGAATGTCAATTGTATTCATAAAGTAAATTGTTTCCTATGATAGGATCGTGACGTGGATGAATCCGTGGCAGGTAGCAAACAATTACACGAATCCCATGCAACTGGAGAACTTGGTACCTGCTTTTACAGAGTAAGTAATTTTACAGTAAGACCATCTACATGAAAGTATACTGCATCGCGAATTCCGGGTACATAATATATTATTCCAGATTATTATTGGAATTGTCTTCTTTGGAAGGTTATCTGCGAGTTCAGATGGAAGCAATTTTCTTTTCATCGATGATTGAAGAGTGGATAGGTACTAATGTTCAGCCATTAAAAGTAAAGTTGATAGAGTTGAAACAAACCACGGAGAATCAGTTGAAAATAAATAGTCGCGTATAATAGCTTTTGTTTAAAAAATCAGCGATCCGACTTTGAACATATATGTAATCAACACTTTTGAAAAGCAATCACAATCATAAATTGAATAATCGAATATTTCTTGGATGTAGAATGAAATTATTTTTGTATATAGTAGGTCGCTATATGCATACATGTATGCGCGCGGACATATACACTGTGTATATACAGGGTGTCAGATTCGATATGGACGACCCCAAAGATTATAGTAGATTGGGTTAAACTGAGAAGAAAAGTTATATAAAATTTTACAAAATCGTAATTATTATCGGCCTAATTCAGGTACTATTTTGCGCTTGGACGAATAGTTATCGAGATACTGAATTTTAAAAATCGACGTATTAGCCCAACCTACTGGCGAATGTAAGCGCGCGGTGAGATGCGTCCGCTTAGCGATCCCGCTCGAGGCGGTGTGTAGCGAGCCGAGGAGTAGGATGGCGAGGCGATGCCCTGCGAGGAGTAGGGAGGCGAGGCGCGCCGCTGCTCGTCCGCCGCTTATGCGACCACTCGCACGTTTCCCCGCGCTGCGTCAAAGTTCGCTACTCACTGCGCGCTTGCATTTGCCAGTGGGTTGGACTAATACGGCGATTTTTAAAATTCAGTATTTCGATAACTATTCGTCCAAGCGCAAAGTAGTACAGGACTTTTCTGTTTGTCTTAGTCCGCTCTACCTTCCCATGACTGGTCTTCAATATGTTGCGTAGCACCCTGTATAATATTTATACACATGTGTAGAGAAAGAGATGGGAATATGGAACCTCACTTTGTTTTTAAGCAATTTTTTGTAAATTAGCTCAATTTTGTCAATTCTGATATGCATAAGTTCCTTATTCTATTGATATCTATTTCTAACTTTCAATTCTCCAATTACAAAAAAAGCTGTATAACGAAACTAAAAAAGTAAGTAGTTGAATGGTAAGACATAATTAATGTACTACTAATATGGACCTATTTTTTGAATGCGGGAAATAAAAAATTTATAAACGTAGGTAGAATAACTTGTAAAAAAGTATTTTATTTATTAAAAGAAATTTTGTAAAATACACAGTGGAAAATAAATATAAAAAATAATTGTTATAAAAACAAATAATTTAAAAAATTACTTTAAAAAAGAAACAAGAGAAAAATTTTATCTTTACTGGCAAAAATTGCAAATGTATTCCTTTTTTTCAACTTCTACGCACTCATTGTGTCTAGAAATCCCATGAAACATTGAACCAATAGTTACCTTGAGGGTCCATAATGGCGATGTGACCGGCCCACGACCGATATTGGTAGGCACACGCGGAGAGTTATTTATCATATTATAGGGTGTCAGATTCGTTAGTAGCCAAACTAAAAATTATGGTAGATTGGGTTAAACTGAGAAGAAAAGTCATGTACCGTTGTGCAAAATTAGCAGTAGTTATCGCGTAATTGATAAAAACGTCTGGTCGAATGAGCGCACAAGGAGCGGAAGGCCGGACCTGGCAGGCATGCAAAATAGTTTATTTGTTTATATCTCCTAGGACGCGGTAGCGAGAGGTGGAGTCACGCGACGAGCGACGTCCTCTCCACCTCTCGCTATCGCGTCCTAGGAGATATAAACAAATACACCATTTTGCATGCCTACCGGGTCCTTCCGCTCCTTGTGTCCTTATTCGGCCAGACGTTTTTATCAATTACGCAATAACTATTGCTAATTTTGCACAACGGTACATGACTTTTCTTCTCAGTTTAACCCAATCTACCATAATTTTTAGTTTGGCTACTAACGAGTCTGACACCCTGTGCATAGCTGTTGTCGATTTTAATAAACTCCCGCGCGCCTAGCAACGTTCCAGCGCGGGCCGTATCTTATCGTGGCCTGGGACTGGGGCTGCGAGCGAGGCTGGGCTTAGACAGCTATTTTTTATATGCAGGGTGGTCAGTTTAAGTGTGAACATGGAAATATCTCGAAAACTGCATCGGATAAAAAAAAGTAGTCGGAGTAAAAGTTGTTTGTCTCGAAGGGGCTTATCCATTGGAACCAAAATGGACCCTCCACTCCCACCCCTGAGGGGGAAGGGGTAACTTTGAAATCTTCAATGGAAACCCCTATTTTTTTACAGCACCCATTATTCCATAGTAACGAATGAAAGTTGTTATCGAAATTCTTGTACGAGGCGTGACACATGGAGTTATAATTGCAGAAATTATATTTTACGGAAATTGCACGATATGTGCACTTGATGAAAAACGGAAGCCAGGCATGTTAAATTTTGTGAAGAAACTGCATTCAGCATAACCCAGGATCGAACAACGACGTGGACGTAGCAGTATTTACTCCGACTATTTTTTTGATTCGATGCATAGTTTTCGAGATATTTCCATGTCTACACTTAAATCGCCCTCTTCGGTTTTTATCGATTGTAACGCCATCTGTTGAAGAAAATGGTACAAATCCTGAGTTTATTTAATGTATTGTTTTTTGGAGAATCCAAATCTACAGTAAAAAATGGGGGTTTCCATTGAAAATTTCAAAGTTACCCCTCTCCCCTTCGGGGGGGGGGGGGGTATTTTGGTTCTAATGGATAGACCCCTTCGAGACAAACAACTTTTACTCCGACCATTTTTTTGATCCGATACACAGTTTTCGAGATATTTCCATGTCCACACTTAAACTGACCACCCTGTATATTGCGAAAATTACAAAATGATAGAGGAATTTTTGATTCAATGTGGTCCGCTCTATCTACACAAAAAAGAAGCCTTATCCACTGACACCCTGTATAAAGCGTCTGGCACTAAAAGTGTAAAAACTACCTGTTAATCGCGAACACTCGAAAATAAACACAGTTTTATATACCTTTCTAATATTCGAAAATCAACAAAAGAGAAATAGCTCTTTTACTCTATGGTTATCGCAAAACAAGTGATTTAAACGTTTTTATGTCACAAATGGTAACTTAATAAACAAGTTTCAGTCACGTATAAAGTACAGCTAAATATTTTTAAGAGAGATTCCTATTACTAGCAAGGTTCCATATATATTTCCATCTTTTCCTCTATTTATATAAAATGTTAGATGGTCTCCTACTTTGACGTTAACTTATTTTTAAAAAAGAAAAACCAATAAAACATAAAAAGAAAATATAGTTTTCTAAGGAAGAGATGAATTATTTTATTACTGCATACAAAAGCAAGAGAACTCTTGTCGATTATACAAGATGCTCTGTGATATCTTGGCTATGAAAGGGTAATTATGGTTAAATTACAAAATGATATTTAATAATTAAGGGACAAATCGATATTTAATCCATTACTTTTATTTTAAATGTATGCAAATATTAATTTCTAGTAAGCCAGTGTCTCTTTCGTAGCATAGACTAGTAAGATTACGAGATTAATAGACTTGAAATAAGAAAACAAATACATGTACTGTGAAAGACAACACTTTGCTTATATGTATTTGCAGTCTTTTTTTTAATGTAAATAGACGCGCAATGGTATATATCCATTTAGATAAAAATATTAGAAAATATTGATAACGTTGTGCCGCATATATGTCTTTCTCATCTCGTCATAGTAAATAGCGAAAGCGAACTTCTAACTATATTAGTTTCAACGTAATGTACTTTATATTTTTTGTATATAACGTCTCTATTTTTTGTGATAAACGATAGTAACTGGTCTATAAACAATTATTTAGCGTATTGTATAAGAGAATGAGAGTAAATGTAACACGTATAACAAAGTAATTAGAAGAGAGAAAAATAAATCAGATTGTGTAGTATACATATTTTCTCGTGCGTAGATCCTTTGGAAATAGCAGTTATTTAGCTGTTGTATGTACAATGTGTATCATTTTTCATATGTTTCTCGTATACTTGTAGAGCGATTTGATAGTAGTTCTTTGTACTTCTGTCTCTCCTTGTAGTGGATAATGATTGGCCCGTGTCAGTCAAGTCATGAGTCAAGTAACCTACGCGTTGTCAGCTTATAAGACAATGTCGAAAGTAAAGGAACCCGACGAGCAAGAAGCTTTAAAATTGGATGAACATTTTAAGCGAACTTTGACACATGTCAGAACGTACATATTGAATCTGAGATCTGTGAAAGAGGCTGATTTATGCAGAATCTGGCTCGAGAAATTAAACTCGATCGTCTCGCAACGTAATTTGAGGAACGAATATTTGTTGGAGCTCTCTCGACAGCTAAGAGCAGGCATGCTCGAAGGAATATTTAGGACTGAACCGTCTAATAACCTGTTAACGCCGTTGCAATCGTCTTGTCACGCGGTATTTTGTTATTAGTTTTAGTCTTTGCATTCCTTCCAGGACAACATCAAATGGAAGCGTTTCGAAAGTTGTTTCCAGAGACGCCTGATACAAAGTGATATTTTAACAAAACGTTTAATATCATAAAAATTATTAATATCATATTAAAATGATTGTTTTATTTCTCCATTAAATCTACATTAAACATTGATAATAGATATTTTATATTGTAATTTTTATCTTCATCAGGTTTGCTTTGGCTCATCTTTGAGCGAACTGTCTGATTGGGACAGAAGTCATCAGGATGGTTCAGCGTTAAGCCGAATGTCGGACCAGAGAAATCGCCTACGAAATCAATCAAACTTTCATAATTCTATATCGAGCTTGAGCGTGAATGCTTCGCATTGTCGCGACGATGATATGACAGAGGAAAACCACTTGGAGCTTTGCAAATATCGTATTGATATATTGGCCGCAATGCTCCAAGATCTTCGAATTCAAAATAAACAATTAAGGCAAGTGTTAACGGCAAAATGTCGAGGAAGCAATGAGAAGATAAACAACGAAGCATTTCGATTACGGAATCGCGTGAAACAGTTGACAGCTCGAGCCCAGATTCGAAGCCTTGCGTCGAAAGTTCGAATGCTCAAGAGAACCGTCGTAAAGCTGAGGAAGCTGAATGACACTATAAAACACGTCTGTGAAAAGAAGTTGCGACGCATTATTAGAGTACTATCTATAGTTCTAAGAACTTTTATTCAAAATAATCTCTACAATTCGAGCATCTTAATTTTTCCTTAAAATATTTTATCACTTTTTATCGTTATTATTATTATTATCAGTATCTTTAGCAAAGTTGAATTATATGAGACGAAACTTTTAATCTGTACGATGTTGCAGAATAAAAATCTCGAGATTAAGATTTTGCAATTGCAATTTCAAGAACAGAAGAGCGAATTGTGTTTGCGTTTGTGTTCGGAAAGACGGAACGAACTATGTAGCTTGATGGGATCTTTAGAAGAGAAGTATAAGACGCTTCTAGCAGCAGCCCTTGAAAGCCAGCGACAAGAGTACTTTACGGTATTTTTATTTATGGTGTTACAATATGAAATGCACTTGTTTCCCATTGCTCCCAACTTTTAACGTCATAAATATAATATAAAAATTGTCAGGCTTGAGGTATTAGGACTATTTTTATCTCCATTATATTTCCTGATCAGTAGAGTGTACGGAGAAAAAAATATCTCTTCATACACGTTATTAAGAGTAATAATTTTATTAATATTAGAAGTTAATTAGTAATCCTTTCAGAAAATAATGCCATCGAATTCTTGAAGCCGAATTGTGTCACTTGAGGAAACCAATTTTGGAACTGAGCCAAGATTGTACATATACATATGATGGCACGTAAAATTTAATTTTACCTTCTGGTGATGTGATGTCCTACGTTATTGTTATACGTCAATAAAACAAAACATCATTGCTTGTCTACGTCTCGATGAAAGGCGTTTATCTTTTTATTAGCAAGTATATGTAGATTCAGGGTTGGGAAGTAACTCGTTACTTGTAATGAAGTTACAGTTACAGTTACTTCTTTTTGGTAACTCTAACTTAACTTCGCTACTTTCTCTACATCTGTAACTGTAACTTAACTCAGTTACATTTTTTCGATAACTTATAGTAACTAATTTGATAGTTACATTAATAGTTACTTTATATATATTTTCAACCTCCACTGATCGCATTAGGCCTTGCATTTGCGCGTAAACACCTTTATCCCCTGCTGGAAATAATTCCACAAAATTCTACAAAAGAATTAAATATAACTGCCAGAATCTAAGAAATTCTACGTAAATTTAAAAAGTGTTATAAAAATCAACATAATGCTAGAATTGGAACACTTTTGTTAATTTTTGTAATATTCTACAAGTAAGCAGATGTTTTAATTCTTTAAGATTTCGTTGTTTCTCAAACTTTTTAAACTAGTACAGTTTTGTACTAATTTTTACAAAATTGTACATTTTCATGAAGTACTATTTGCAATAATTTCTTGATTTGAGAACATTGTAATTTGTGATACTATTTTATAGATATTTTTACAAAGAAATAAATGTTTCAACGATGATATAAAAATTTCTACGTACAAATTTCTATTTCAAGTAAATTTTTTGTAGTTATTTATAGAAATTTTTTTCGCCAAGGTCGCCGCTTTGCAATTCAGATGCAGATTCGATATTTTTATTTCTATTGCAAGGGAGTAACTGCAAAGTAACGATTCGTTACTTTTCGAGTAACTGTAACTATAAGTTACATTGTTAGCGAAAAAACTGCAACTGTAACTAGTTACTTTTATAAAGTAACTTTCCCAACCCCGTGTAGATTTATATTAGAGTGAACCTTTGACTATGAACGTTTTCAAATTAACCTCAACCTAACCTAACCTAACTTGACCTGGAATTGAAAATGGTGTCATTGGCACTGGTCTCCATGACAACTGATGATAACTGTCAACACAAATATTGTATACATAGAATAGATCAGTGTCAGAGAGGATCGGTGCATCAAAGACTTCGATTTGATAAAACAGAGTGTATTTTAAAGGAGTTACCGTAAAGGAACGTGCTTGTTTATACGTCGACATTAAATTACAATTTAATTCACTCCGTGTACTGTAATGTGATAAACAATGGCTTTGTATTTCGACATTCGGGTACAGAATCCTGAGAGTGCGTCAATAAGTACCCTCGCGACCTGGCACAATAATTATCCCCTGTTAGCCGTTGCCGCGTACTCTCAGGATAAGGGTGGCTTTGTGACCGTCTACGATGATCAAGGTGAGCCCGTGCAGGATGTTGAGTCACCGGGACACGCGGTGGCACAAGTCACTGCTCTTGGATGGCATCCTGAGAAGACGTGGTTGGCTGCAGGCTGGGAGAATGGAGAATTACGTGTCAGTATTATAATATACATATTTGATATTGTAGAGTTAGTATTATGTGTGTACGCGCGTGTGTATCTATATTGCCTTCTGTAACCTAGAGTGTATGTATATCCCAGCCAGCAAGATATCAGAAGTATGCCAGTAGTTTGGTGGCAAATTTAATCAGATCTTACAACAAGGTCATATCCATTGTTTGCTACCTTCATTAAGCTTGTGTTCTGTCGACAAAGCCTACTGATATGATTTGACAACAGACTGGCGGCAGGATCTATCCGGTTTCTGCTGCGAAACTGCACAGCAGAATCTACAAATTACTACAAGTTCTACCTCATTTCTATTGAAAATTTATAGACTCCGGTCAGAATTTGTTTACCCAGGTTTGGCTATCTAAGATGTGCTATTATAAGATACTCTAAGTGGCAGAAGGCAATAAATAGTCTCCGTTGTCATTAAAACTAGATTTTGAAAATATTGAATTGTTACCAGATCTGGCCAGGAGACACAGGCACTCAGGAATTCAATGTGGTAGTAACCCCCCATCGAGATTCCATCATGATTCTGCAGTGGAGTCAATACGGTGGCCGCTTGGTATCTGCAGACACTGGTGGATCTATAGTCGGTTGGAAAATAGACTCTAGGGGACAGCTCTTCATGACGTTCCATCACGAGTTAAAAGAGTCTTTTACACAAATTGCATTTAGGACAGTCCCGCTAAAACCTGCTGTTGATATTAGGTACAGTAACACAAACAGAAATTGTGCGGTGCCTGTATTTTCACGATAGTACTGGCTGTTTCACAATTACCCTGGTAACATTTCCATTGCAATTCTGCTGTAAAACTGTGCGAAAAGTGATGCATTAACTTTCGGGCAGATCATGCGTTTTCTATTTCCAACTTGGACTATCTGTTGTCAGAAACTTGCACTCATCGTAGTGCAACAGAACTGTTGAAGATAATATATAATCGCACTAGATTTGTAGCAGCGCCTACTGCTAATAATACTTGTAGCAGAATTCAACAAGAATTACGGCAGATGCTTGCACGTTCTTTTCGCGTTTCTGCCGGTCGGATTTGTACTCAAAACTCTGCTGCAAATGTGCACGAAGAATTTAACGCGATTTGCTGTTATTTTTCTGTCAGGCAGATACTTCAATATTGTTTTCCCATTTCTGCTGCATGTCTACTTTTAGCAAATAATATAAAATTTTACAGTAGCTTCTTACAGCTTGCGTTCGTTTTCTCCCACTGGGAGCATAAACTATACTGAAACTCTATAGTTTACGTTACGTAAATTATAGACTTTCAGTATAGTTTATGCTCCCGGTGGGAGAAAACGAACGCAGGCACAGCAGACTGCTGCAATAGTAAGTAAGTACTTGTCAATACCAGATATTATGCACTTCTGTCGCAATTTTGCGCACTTCTGCGGTTTGTATCTAAACTGTCAGATTGTGTTACCAGGGTATTCACCATGCAAACTAGCGCGATGAAAAGTATTGAATCTCAAAGAAGCTGTTCCAAGTAAAACTTGCGAATGAACGTACAATATTCTTTATTGTTTAATTGAATATTTGACTGAGCCGTTTATCATTTGCAGCGGCTTGGCGAAGGCGGCAGTGGCTGGCGATGAGAGAGCTTTAGATCTATTTAGTTCCTGGCGTCCGAGAACTGCTGCGCCAACGGCGGTACTGTCACAACGGGATAACCACGCGTTTTACATTGGTACCGTAAATGGTATCATATACTTTGTTGATGCTCAAGGGCAGTGCAAAGAAGTTCTGAGTACCGATGGTGCCGTGTTACACTGTCTATTGTATCATCAGACCAGAGATTCCATCATTGTTATGACGGAGGGATTGAATATCGGGCATTTTCAAGCAGATTCAATCAGTGGAGAGCTCACCGAGCTAACAAAGGTTGAGTCATATCATTGCCATACCTACACACTTTTTTTATTTAAAATTTAAGAACGTATTGCATTTGAATTTTACAACAATGATCAATATCATTAATTATTTATTGTAATTTTTATCGTCGGTACTTGGCAAATTCAGAGAAAAAAGAGATTCTTATTTATAAAGCGTGGTAGATAATTAATATCAAATGATATGGTTGAACTGTAGTCCAATGAGGAAAAATATAGAAAATAACAACATTGAGTGTCGTAAAATTGTTTTCTTTAATTCTACGTAGACGTAACAACGTAATAACAATTAGTATTATAATAATTCATATAACATACATTTTTTGTTTACGGAAAACAATAGATCTAATTATTGTAATTATATAACAATAGAGGAAAGTCCTTTATTATGAGAGGCCTCTAATATGAGATAACAGGTTTTCAATATTTAAAATCTATCAAATGTTTTTTTCGTAACAATTACATGATCCAGCAATGAATTTTTTTACTAAACAGATTTCACTTGAAGGGTAATAAATTCATGATGGAACCAACAGATGGTGCCTATTAATTTAGCAGAAACCCCGCTATCTCATATTAGGAGCCTATCTTAGAATAAGGAACTTTTTTCTATATATTATATTACTGTGCAATGTGTTTAAGGTAAAACTAAGTGGCAGAAGCGATGCGTCACGCACTACCGGTACCACCCTGTGCTGGATCAGCGGAAATACATTGGCTGTGCTGACAGGAGAGCTCGCCGTCCGATGCTGGGATCTTCACACGGGCGATACGTATGTCCTGTCACCTCCCGATTCGTCCAATGGAAATGTCGCCACTCCTCAGGAAATGTGCACTAGCTTGGCATTTTGCAAGAGCAACGGTGAGACACCAAAGTGTGTTTTTAAAATTCTAAGTCAAACTTGTATCGTGTATTGTATCCAAAATTAAGCGTGCGGATTAGCGTTTTCTCATTAGCAATACTTTAATTGTACAACGTTTCATTTATTGTTATTGCTTCTACTTGAAGTAAGTTTGAAGACAACGAGAGCTAAACGAAGTTGTTTCACGATTCTCAGATACCTTAGCCGCCGGCACCAACTTGGGTACAATCTATTTGTGGAAGCGAAAATGTACGTCTGACTGCGACGAGAGTGCCTGGCCAAGTGTCCCGGAGTCCTGCGCGATTCATGGCACGGTGAAGCAGCTGGCGTGGGGCGTCAGCTTATCACGAAATCCCCTTTTGACTGTTAACTGTATAACCAATGTATTCATCCTGCATCAGCAACCCATGTGTGCCGTATACAACGACGGTGTTTGCGCGAGCCAGCTCGCCCCAACACAGATTTTACTCGAGATGGACGAACAGACGTATATATTAAAGACAGAGATTCAGGTGCAAGCCGTCGCTGTGTCGCGGGAATACATTGCCGTCTCCTCCGGTAGACAAATTATTGTCAACAGTATTAACAAAGGTGCCAATCTTAACACGAGCGTACTGGCAACTTTCAACTGTGACACAGAAAAGATGTTAATCTATGAGCACACATTGATCGTGTTAACTCCAACAATTATTCAGCTGCGATCTATAGAAGGCTCCGTTATTCAGACACTTCCCACTTTACCGGAGGAGGGCGAGCCGATCACAATGGAATTAACAGGTGAAAAATTTTGATTAAAATAGTCCTGTACAAGTTTTTATCACCAATATTCTGGCAATGACATCTCTGTTACTTGTCTGTTATAAATATTATGAATACTGTACTTGCAATTCTTTGCAGGACATTATTTAACCGTGGCATCATTAAATGGCATTCTGAAGATTTGGAATCTAGGCAAGCATGAGGCTAAGCTACACACTCGTGCCATGGCTACGTATGAGGCGATCAGTGATTTCGCTGAGATTATCGAGGCCAGATGTAATTCAGATTGCCATTGCGTCTCGATCACTGTTGCTATGGCAAATCTCATGCCTAGCTCGGTTTTATATATCTGGGACATCGAGAGCGATCAGATCCATGAATTCAATTTTGGAGAGTCGGACGACATCATTGACGATGACTCCATGTAAGTAAACAAGCTGAGAGAACTCGACGCAGCTGCGAATCAAGTCGCAGATCAGAATTAATTGTACCTTCCATTTATCGATTCTGCGTGTTCCTAATATACAGGGTGTAATCTACTTTGCGCCCATTATTTATACAGTGATTCCGTATAAAAAACTGAGTCAACAAGTCCCGAGCCATTTTTCTGAATCATAAAGTATATCATACTTCATAAAGTAATTATTAAATAAATATTCGTCAATCAGCGTCGCTTTTTAAACGGATGCACAACGGAACACCGCTAAGACACGCGGCTCACTTCACGCATACTAGTAGATGCGCGCCTCACAAACGTGCGTTCATTTACAAAGTGATGCTGATCAGCTAATTTTTAATTATTAATAACTACTTTATAAAGTGCCGAGAAAATTTATATCTTTTCTAGAATATTTCATGTGAATGAATTTTGAAATATTCTGAGATTTTTAAGATGCCTTATTCTATAATTTCAGACATAATCTTATAAAATTTGAATAAGAAAAAGCTCAAGATATTTTTTCAAAAATTATAGAATGAGAAATCTTAGAAGTACGATATTTCAGAATATTCACATATGATAATGAAAAATTGTAAGAAAAGAAATAGACTTTCTCAGTATTTCTGAAAGTAAGTAGTCTCAATTCATATACAAATTCTGAGAAAATTTTATACCAGAGACATGCGTTTATTTATATAAAATTAATTGTGCGTATTCCACTAACATAAGCGTACAGTAAGCAATATTCAAGGGCAATAATACTTCATTACATTACTTTTAGAGCTGCACAATGCAGAGGAAGATTGGTTACTGCGCACTGCTGGGATGTGGAGGATCCCAGGTTACTGGTATGTCGAGCTCAACGATTGGAAAGCCGTGATTCTAAGAACTTCAATAAGGACAACAATGGGGTAATAGTAAAAGTGACTAGTAATGTTATGAATATGATTGTGCGATACTTTTATTCTATCCATTAAGTTTTATGCTATCAAAATACGAATGAATACAAAACAAAAATTGAAGCTACAATACATAGAATGTTCGATTTTGAATAAAGATTAATTAAGGAAGATTTGGTCATATACACATCTAATGCCAAATATAAAATTTTTTTTAAGGATTCACACTAAATTTTTTCAGAAGATTTACTTTTTATTTCTACGTGTATGATTATAAATTATTATATTATATAATATTGTAAAGTTATAAAATTTTATATTAAAAAAAGATTAACACATTGATTATGATTCTACAATAATCTCTATGTATAATGGTATTTTTTTACAGACTATACAAGAGGCCTCCGTAGTGTTGGTATCGTTATTTGCAACATCGGATCACGGTATCGTTATACAGGACGTAAAACCGATCGCTGATGAGAATTGCCGATTGCTAGGTGTGCATTCACCGCACATCGTTATTTTAAATTCCGAAAAGAGTTTGGATAGGAGCAGCAAGATTATTTGCTTATTAATGAGAGATTTTGAAGAACTGGGAGAGTGCGATTCCACTACCAAAAAAGCGGTAATGGATTTTAGTTACCATATTAGTGTGGCAAATATGGAGGAGGCCTTCAAAGCCATTAAATCTATAAAAAATGAGGCTGTCTGGAAGAATTTGGCCAAAATGTGTGTGAAAACAAAGCAGCTGAACATGGCTCTTCTTTGCCTGGGTCACATGAAGCAGGCCAATGCCGCGAGGGCTTTACGTGAAGCAATGCAGGCCAGTACTTTAAGCTTGGAAGCGCAAGTAGGAATTTTGGCTGTCGAGCTTGGCCTGCATGTAAGTTTTTAACTATATAAGCATGCTTTCAACAAACACCGTTAAACATATCCAAAAAACCGTTATTGTTTGTATGACACTCTAAACTGCAGATCGATGCTGAACGTCTATTCCGCGAAGCTAAACGTCTGGATTTGCTGGGACGGCTATACGAGGCACGGAATAAGTTTAAAGAGGCAATTGAATTGGCCAGTAACGAGAACAGGATCCGCGAGAAAACGAGTTGCTACAACTATGCGCGTGCGTTGGAGCAACAAGGTAAAGTGGCAGAGGCTATTGATATGTACACGAAAGCCGATTGCCATCGATTTGAAGTGCCCAGGATGCTTTTGACGAGACCTCGAGAATTACTCACGTATCTAAATAATTCCGAAGAGCCGTAAGTAACATCAATTGACCCCGTTTTATTATCATCTCATCAATATTTCAGAAAAATTCCATGAAAAATTATTTTCATCAAAATAAGTTTTTCTTTTAGTAAAAATTCAGTACATTTCATATTTTTTTATGGCTTTTTAACAGTATACTTTAATTTTCCTTATGTTACAGTATTACAATAAATTTCATAAGGAAAATTATGATTTATTTTGAAATATATTCAATAATGTTTCAGTAAAATCTTTTATTTTATTTTTTTTCATCGATTTGTAATATACAGGGTAGGCCATTTTAATCTACGCACTGAAATCTCAAAATCCATAAGTTTAAGACAAAAATGTTTCAGACAAAAGTTGTTTAAGAAAGTGGGGGTCATCTATCTGTGTAACTAGCTTTGACCTTGAGACTACTTTTCAAGGTTATGTGAAGGTCAGAGTGGTTTTTTAAAATGGGAACCCCTATTTTTTATTACACATTCTTATAGCTTACCTCGAGAGCTTTCCAAAACGCTATAATAAAGTATTTTTTTTATTAAGAACTTTTTGAGTTATTAAGGTTTGAAAGTTCCAATATTTTGACATAAATTACAAAATATCTTGTAAAATATTCATTTTTTTATCATCTTACCTTAATACTTTTCTGAACAGAATAATGAGACAAATCAACCGGTGTAAAGAAAACACACAATTAAAAAAAATTTTTTTTATTGTTACAAAATTGTGTTTTCTTTACACCGGTTGATTTGTATCATTATTCTGTTCAAAAAAGTATTAAGGTAAGATGATAAAAAAATGAATATTTTACAAGATATTTTGTAATTTATGTCAAAATATTGGAACTTTCAAATCTTAATAACTCAAAAAGTTCTTAATAAAAAAATACTTTATTATAGCGTTTTGGAGAGCTCTCGAGGTAAGCTATAAGAATGTGTAATAAAAAATAGGGGATGCCATTTAAAAAAATTGGTGTGACCTTTATGTGACCTTCAAATAATTCTTCAAGGTCAAATCAATGGTACTTATGACCCCCTTATGACCCCCTCGAAACCAAACAACTTTTGTCGGAAACATTTTTTATTATTTCGCTTACCGATTGAGTTATTCTCCATTAAAGGTTAAAATGGTCCACCCTGTATATGTATACATACATATATACTTTCAACAATTTTCATCGGAGGTGTCGATTACAGAACAATTAGTTGCCATGTGGATTGATATCTTTCCAGGGAGATAAAAAATTGGCATGCTCAGTACACCGAGTCGACCGGCGATATGGAGACCGCCTTGCATCTTTACGAGCAAGCAAAAGATACTTTGTCGATGACACGTCTGCTTTGTTACTTTAGCAGAGAGGATGAAGTGTGTGAGCTAGTGACGAGAACAAATCACGCCGCAGCGGCATATCATCTTGCAGCGCACTATGAATCAAAGAACAATGTGACACAAGCGGTTCATTTCTACACAGTCGCGAAAGCTTATACCAATGCGATACGGTTGTGCAAGGTAGGGCGTTCAGCTATTTAAAAAATTGTTAAAAAGTATTAAAAACTGTTCCTATTTTAATTGGCTCAACAAGAGTTAATGAGTTTTTTTGATATTAATTACTTACAGGAGCATGACATGCTGGAAGAACTGTGGCCACTGGCTATACTGGCGTCACGGCATTCGCAGATAGACGTCGCCAAGTTTTACGAGGACAACGACCAACCAGATCGCGCGGTACTGTTATACCATAAAGCTGGTCTCTTGCATAAAGCCTTGGACGTCGCGTTCAGAACACGACAGTACAGCGCGTTGCAACTGATTATTATGGATGTGAACGCGGATTCTGATCCGGCACTAATCCACAAGTGCGCTGACTACTTGATGCAGAATGACCAAATCGACAAGGCGGTGGATCTGCTTGCGACCGGCAGAGATTATATGGCGGCTTTGGATCTGATTCAGCAGCATAACGTCGTGCTGAGCGAAGAGCTTGCGGAGAAGCTCACGGTCGAGAAAGGGAGTGACGACAATGCGGAGCGCGAACGTACGAGAATTTCCACGCTCGAGAAAATCGCAGAGATCGCTTTTGATCAGGGAAACTACCATCTTGCGACTAAAAAGTTCACGCAGGCGGGCAACAAGCTGCGCGCTATGAAGGCGTTGCTCAAATCCGGAGATACCGAGAAAATCTGTTTCTTCGCGCAGGTCTCGAGGAACCGCGAGATCTACATCATGGCAGGCAATTATTTGCAATCTCTGGATTGGCAAAATCAACCAGAGATTCTGAAGAACATAATCAATTTCTACTCCAAGGGCAAGGCCATGGATTTGTTGGCAAATTTTTATGTAACATGCGCACAGGTGGAGATTGACGAGTTTCAGAATTATGAGAAAGCATTGGACGCCCTAAATCAAGCAAACAGGTGTCTGTCCAAGGTGATGACACCGCGGGATCTTGATGTTCATAATCGGGCGGTGGAGTTGGTGAATAATAGAATGTCTGCAATTAAACGCTACTTGGATATTAAAAGGTAAAAACATTAATTTCTAAACAAATAAAGTTAAATAGAATCGTTATGGTGTAAATTAAACAAACGGACCCTTAGGTCCGAGCAAGATGTTGGTAGCCTAATAATTGTAATCTAAAATATGAATTCATATACAGTTTTCCATTTTGTCCCGCGTGCCGCTTTCTTTTCAGACGTAACGCAGTTTCATTTAAATGGAATCATTGTCGTCAGTGAATTTACATATTAAAATCGATAAACGATTTCTAATTATTTAAAAATGTCATATTTAGCATTTAATACTCCTATCCCCGTACTGTAAAGAATTCTTATTGCGAAAAATATTACCTCAGCCAGGATTCGAACCTGGGACCTTGCTCAATCCGTAATGGGTGTCTTAACCAACTCGACCACTGAGGATTAATTTCTAAATTAAACGTGATATTCCATTATGGATATTGTATCTTTAATGCATTTAGATTTATCAGATCGTGACTGTCTTCGTTTAAACAATGAAGTTTCTACAAACTTTGTTCTTGCATTAATCGCATTTTTATTGTAATATATAATTAATTGTATTTTGTAGTCTGTTTTGAGCATCTTTTTTCTTGTTGAATAGATTGTTCGATAGAGGGGAGACGGAGACGGCAATGCAGCAAGTTCGTCATTTGCTGGACTCTCAGGGATCCAATCTAGAGCAATCGGTGCGTCGTGGCGACCTGTTTGCCACAATCACGCAACATTATGCCAATATAGGGAACACTGAGAAAGCTTGGGCGACAATCGAAGAACTGAAACGCCTAGTGCCAGGAATCAATTTGACTTACTACTTTAACATAAATCTTCTGGAAGCATTGGGCTACAAGATGAAGATGCAGCAGCAGGACAGTTCCGATAAGGATGATGGAATTGAAGAGCTCCTGGGAGAGTAAAAAGTTTCTTGCGTAAACGATCACCCAGGATATTTTTACTTTCCATTAAAAGTCGTTATTACCTAAGAAGTAAGTTGTCTGCGGTATATAACGTTAGTAGCATATTTGTTCAGATATTGCAACAATCTGGTACTATCTACTTTAAATACATGTGCTTATGTTTTGTTGGTAGAGACTACTGATCACGAGACACGATAGCGTCTCGTGCCAAGTATAAGCGTAGGTAGAAACCGCGCGCGTGACACCGACCGTGTAGTTTACGCGAGTACGCGAGTTGACAGGCCGTGAGATTATCAGATTTCAACAACGGCAGATCCGATGAACTTCTAAGTGCACTCAATCGATAGTGAAAGGTTCCCTCAAAATTCAGACGCACAAACGCCCCTGAGCACGGCGCAGAGCGCTGCGCGAAACGCTCACGCGCACCGACACCCGCGGTCGACACGCGCTAACGGCGTGACAACGGACGCCGTTAAATTTCGGCGAACGATTAGGGCCGAACACTCTTTGTCGGGACCTGCTCGGAGTAAGACCGAAGCAAGTCTGAGTTATAACTTTTCGTGTTCAAGTTTATTGTAACAAGTTATTAAATACATTTGTTCTTTACATTAAATAAACTGCCGACCCGATCTTATTCAAGCCGGTTACATCCTACACCCAGGTATTAAGAACTATAGTAAATCTTAGTACCTCAAAGAAGCTTTCATCTAATCAGAAGTGGGATAAGGGCTCGCTTGTAAATTAACGAGAAGAGTCCACCAACGTTTTCAAAGAGGAAGGAACGAACAAAGCCCGCCAACGACAGGACACGTGGTAGGCAGGGAATGGTACGGACCAAGTCCCAAAGGAAAATGGAACGAGAACGTCTGGAAGCCATGACAATGGACCAGCTCAAAGAAGAGGCGGAAAAACGAGGCCTTTCCTCCATAGGCGAAAGAAACGTCTTGGTGGAAAAGGTAATGTCGTACGAGGAAAAATCCTCGACGACCGACGATCGCAGGACCGGAGCAAAAGGGGGCGAGAAAGACGCCCACCAAGGAGCCGTATCAAAGACATCGATAGATAGTCGAGGGACGGAGGAGATACTCCGGACGATGCTGGTTGCAATGAACGGAATGATAGGCCAGCAACAGGAGGCGCAAACACTCCAACAGCAGGCGATGCTCCAGCAACAGCAGCAATTCGCCCAAATGCTACAGCTGCTACAGGCAAGGCGAGAACCGGAGCACGCCGAAGAAATCGCGCCCCGACGGGCAGGAGCACAAGAAATGACGCTTCCGGGTTCGCCAGGAGGGTCGCCAGGAGGGTCAAACGCGAGCGGAAACGCGAGCGGTCTATCAGCCGGGATTTCAATCCAATGGATCGCGTCGCAAATTCGGAGTTCGCGGGTGCGCAGGACGAGAATGTGAAAACCTGGACAAGACGCGTGGACAAGGTGGCCGAAATCCACGGCGCAACCGAGGGTGTAGTGTTACTCGCCGCCTCTAGTCGGCTCACGAAAGCGGCCAAAAAGTGGTATGAGATCCAGACGGGACCGGTATTGGAGTCGTGGACTAGCCTACGAAGGGAATTAGGTAAGGTATTCGATAGAAAGGTCCCATTCTACCGAGCTGTCCAGAAGGTGGAAGCGAGAAAATGGCTACACCAGAAGGAGTCTTTTGACGAGTACGCTATTGAAAAGCTGGCGCTGATACACGCGCTAGACTTGCCGACGGAAGACGCAATCCACCTCTTAATCGGAGGGATCACGATCAGCTCACTGCGAGCCACCGCGCTATCGGTGACGACTAACTCGATAGAAAACTTCCTAGAAAAAATGAGGCATATTACAGAAGGAGTTCACGAGAGGGAGACCGCAGGAAAAGCAGTGCCCGGCAACCAGACGGCCAAGGGAACAGGAGATGCGTGCAGGAACTGCGGGAAGAGAGGGCATAGTCACAAAATATGTAAAAGTGCAATAACTTGTTTTTATTGTAAGAAGCCCGGACACAGACAATATGACTGCCCGACACTCCAGAAGAAGCCGAACACCGCAGCCACCCCGACGGCAACACAGTCGGCTTCGACGGCAGCCAGCGTGACCATCGAACCAGAGACGGACGGCACGGTAGCCACGGTGGAGACGGACCTGCAACCAAGGAAAGTAACTTTAGAAACTCCTATTGTGAATATAATTGCGCTTAATAACGAGAAATGTAACTTCGCCGCGTTAATTGACACAGGAAGCCCCGTATCGTTTGTAACAAGAAAAGTATACAAAATGTACATAGAACCCTCTTGTCCAGAGATATTTCCGGTTACGAGTAAATTGAGAAATTTAAGTAATCGTCCCATAGAGCTAATAGGCAAAGTTCGAGTCAAATTCCAAATCGACAAAATCGACAACGTTAATCTAGAAACGGATCTACATATCCTAAACGAAAATATCTTTGAAGGTGACTGCATCCTCGGTCGTGACTTCTTGAAATACGAAGGACTCACCTTAGTATATAATCCGGCTTCGGAAGAACCTTCGGAAAGTGTAAACTTATTTACACACTTGCCGTTGGTAGTCGAGGACGACGAGACGGAGAAATCTCTGGAACAAATAATAGATAGAAGTCAAATAGATTTTGCCGAAACAGACAAGGAAAGGTTGAAACGAATAATATTAGATCACGAGACACGGTAGTGTCTCGCGCCAAGTGTAAGCGTAGCTAGTACACGCGTGCGAGACCGACCGTGTAAGTTTACGCGAGTACACGAGTTGACGGGCCCTCAGATTTTCGGATCTCAACAACGGCTGATCCGACGAAATTGAGACTGCGCTTAATCGATAGCTTGGGTACGATTTGCATAATAAAAGTGTTTTTACTTTTCTCCTACGTGCTCCAGGAGTGGAGGTATTGCAATGCAAAAGTCAGATTTGTTAAATTTTGGATTAAGAAACGTCTTTGTCGTCGTCTTCGTCCCGGTCGTCGTCGTCGACCAGACCAGCATTTTCACTTGACTTTTCACTTGACCACGTTGCAATTGACCACGGTCCCGATTGACCACGTTGCAATTGACCACGGTCCCGATTGACCACGTTGCAATTGACCACGGTCCCGATTGGCCACGTTGCAATTGTCTTTCCCGCGTTTCCGCGTCTTTGCGCGTATTTTCCGCGTCTTTTCCGCATTTCCGCATCCCCGCGCGTCTTTTCCGCGTTTTCGCGTCCCCGCGCGTCTTTTCCGCATTTCCGCGTCTCCGCACGTCTTTTCCGCGTTTCCGCGCCTCTGCGCGTATTTTCCGTGTCTTTTCCGCATTTCCGCACCCCCGCGCGTCTTTTCC